TGAATTTGTTAAAAGGGTTGAAACTGAAAACCAATGAGAAAGAACGTAGTGTGTGGGGCCCTTTAGTCTTAGATTAGGGAGATATGTATTAGCAAAGTTTACGTATTAGCACAGCATATACAAAAACAATCAGCAGGCTAACTCTCACGCGCATCTTTTCTGGGCACGCCGCCATTAGGGGATACCATCCTGTCAATAAACGGCAGGGACGCCGACATTTCAATTTATTTGTTTATTTCTGACGGAGGTCATAGGCGTACGGTGTAGAGCGGAATTTCAGTTATAATTTTCAAAGTGACTTTAGTATATTCGTGTTGTCATTTATGGTGATATCAGTTATCATTCTTGTATATTTAATATTAATAATAAATTAGTAATTATAAATATTATTATGTGTAAGTAATAATAAATTAGTTTATTTGAAACCAATACGATTCTGTGACAGGAAAGAAAAAATCTAAATTATTGTTAATCAGGCCCTGTCTCGTATCCCAAAATGGCCGCTAGTGACATCCCGACCAGGAATTCCTTTATTACACTGGCTGTCACTCAAGTTAGCCTGCTGATTGTTTTTGTATATGCTGTGGTATTAGTATTATGTCCTTTCGTTATTTGTGGTCAGTTCTATCAAAGTTTGTTCTATGCTCTATTACTTTATATTGCTGATGTTGCTATTCGCCATCTCTATTCTTTGATAATAATCGGAACATGGTTTTGGACATTTTAGAACATAAAAGTACCAGGGTAACCTTACATTGCAAAATTATTTTACTTTTTCGCACTAGTGCCGAAAAGTGATATTTTCATGGCCTAAAATGCGTGCAGAAAAAAGCACTTTTCGCACGCTCGTAGAAAAAATAGAAAAAAATATCTATATATATAAAAATTAATGCCACTTTTCGTTGTAATTTTATAACTCAAGAACGGGCTCACCTAGCCAAACCAAATGTTTAGGCTTTGTTCGGACTATTTATTAGATGGTTTACGTGAAGTTTTGCACAAAATCGGCCGAGCGGTTCTTCATTCATGTTATAAATTAAATATTCAATAAATGGAGGATCATTTTGCTGTCAAATTGAAACTTTTTTCAGCGTTGACAGTACCAGCATGTTGTTATGTCATTAATGTGGTCATTTCATTACTTGATTTATTTATTTATGAAAAAAATTTACTAAGCCCGCATATGGCGCCATCTCTTATAACCGATACCAAGTTTATTTTGTATTTTGTATTTCTTATACCGCGCCATCTCTGATACCTGGAACGAAGCTCGACATTGCAGATACAGTAGAACAGTGCTGCTCAGGAACTGGAGCTATTTCGAACAGAACTATTCCACTATTCCAATCAGATAGAGTGGTGCAGAAAGAGTAGATCAGATAGAGTAGTGCAGATAGAGTAGAACAGATGGAGTAGTGCATTGCATGCAGTGCAGATAGAGTGAAACAGGGCTGCGCTAGAGATTTTTTTTGTTTTCTTCACATTCTTTCAACATTCCTGTGCCTAAGTTTATTTATTTGGTGGTACACTTTACAAGAATAATGCCCACAAGCTGCCTAAAAAAGGATGATGTAAAATTTTAATTTTAGGTGACTTCTGATCCAGAGAGTAAACATTAATTTTCTTCAACTAAAGGCAAATTCACCGTCGAAAAAAACTGAATTTAATTCAGCTAATAGATACGTTAACACAACATTTAATAGGTATATTTAATAATTCAGGGGCGGTACGAAGTTCGCTGGGTCAGCTAGTGCACTATAAAATAGAAGTTTTTAGGCGTGGCATCCCGAAAAAAAAATTCGCCTCCTTCGGCGCCCGCGGCGAGCTTTCCCTACACCTATCAGATATTATCCTGCACCCATGAGGACTTTCAAAAATCGGCGCCTCTGCCAGGCCCACCCTAGGCCCCCCCCCCAGGGGCCCAATTCTTGAAAAATATCGCATGCGAAATTTGGAATGATTTCGAACGCTTATCATTTAATTTACATTGCTGTCAGTCCAATTCGAATCAAGTTTCGTATGCGATATTTTTCGAGAATTGGGGGCCTGGTCAGATGGTTAGTGACGCCAGTGATGGGCGCTGTCAATAGCATACAAACAATATGGGATTTATGATTGGTATGCTCACTCTATAGTTTTTTATTCCTCGGAGAATTGTTTTCATCGAAATATCTCCAAACACTCACGAGAAAACGTACAGTGATTTCCAGTTTCTAGGAGTACTTCTCAAATTTGAACAATATTTTCAAGTATTTCGCGGTAGTTCCAAGTATTTCTAAATATTCCTAGATATTTCCAAAACATTTCCAAAAACTAAATTTTATTTCCAGCTGAAAAGCAGCAAGTTTTGTTCAGTATTCCCCTAGATATTTTCAACAAATAAAAATGTTTTCCATGTCCTAGTTATTTCTTTTAGTGTTCAACATATTTTTACAGTAAACTAAACATAATATGCCAACTGTAGGTATTAGGTAATGGAAAATTGGGGTGAATGTTTAGTATCGTAATTAAACAACATATTGATGAATAGCACGCTTTCAGCTTTTTTCAAATGGGATGCCCTATATTTAGTTCTATATTCTTGAAGAGCACAATTTTCCGATTCCAAAACTATATAGTTTGTCTATATTTGGTTGAGCCGTCTCCAACATATTAAGTTCTAGAAATTTTAAAAATACCAGCAGAGAAACTAAATAAAACTGTTTTTTTTTTAATGATAAAAGTCAAAATGACATTCTGTTGGCAATACAATGTAAAATTGTCAATGCTTTCAAATTTTTTATGAAGAAAAGGCTTGTGTTGCCAACATAGTTACTAAATTTTTGACTTGGGGAATTATCTTTTAAAAAAAAAACAGATTTTAGATACCTTAAATTTAACCTGCAGCTGCAGTATAGGTAGAATGGTTCACAAAATCAGTAGTAGGATAGTATTTTTACAATTTTTGGAGCCGAATATATGAGAGACTGTTCAATCAAATATAGACCAATTATATATTTTTGGAATTGGGGCATTTTGCTCTTCAAGAATATAGAATGAAATATAGGGGAGCCCATTTGAAAAAAGCTGGAAGCATGCAAAATTTCACATTTCTGACATTCAAATTTTGTTTTTGACCATGATTTTTCAAAATTTAGCCAAAACTGTACAACTTTTGTATTTACACCTTTCTTTTACCTACCTGTAAAGGTGAAGGCTGTAGGTGGGGTGTCAATATATGAAAAAAACACCCAGTACCTACCTATTAAAAACCACCTTATTCTCCTAAATAGTTCTCCCATTCCCATATTTTTATAGGCCATTCCTTCGAAAAACCGTATCTTGCACAATGCGTTGCCAAAACTAACTCAAACTAACCCAATCTGGCTTACTTTAACTTAAACTGCCCCTCCCTTTCAAAAGGCCTGTATCCGCCCCTGGTACTGTACCCCCTTTGGATTCTTTTTTACATAAAATGTTTCAATATCTTGAAATCCGTGAGAATTATTGAATCAAAATTTTCCGAAATTGTAGCTGCTATTAAGCTCTAAAAAACCTGTATTGGAAAATATTTTCAAATTTATAGTTTTTGGGAAAATTGAGTTTCAAGTTTTTGATTAATTTTCTACTAAAATGTAACTTTGAGGGTCAATTGCTCAAAAAGTATTCGAGCCATCAAACTCAATTTAGCACAGATTTATAGAGAATTTAATGCTCTTTCCAATAGTGTATAATTTATTTGGATTTGTACAATTTTTAATGGAACTATTGGCAATTTTTCTAAACTTTGTCATGATTCAAACAAAGTTCAAAACCAAAAAATTCAATTTTCTTTTTGATTTTTTTGGTTTCCAAATTGGTCATTTGCAAATAATGTCAGGGTTTTTTTCGACTAATTTTGACCCGCTCTGTTGGTTGGAAAAGTCAAAATTCGAAAAATTTAAATTTCGATTTTTTTAAAAGGGTACTTACCGTCATTGGATTCTTATTTCAAAATCTTTAAGCTTCAATATCTTGAGATCCGTGAAAGGTATTAAATCAAAATTTTCAGGAATTGTAGCTCCTATTAAGCTCTAAAAAACCTGTATTGGAAAATATTTTCAAGTTTAAAGTTTTTAGGAAAATTGAGTTTGAAGTTTTTGACTAAATTTCTATTGAGAAATGGACTAAGAAATAAAAGAACTTGTTAATTATCGATATTCAATATATTTATTATATCGAACACAGCGTGGAAAGCAAAGCGTGTGAACACATAGAAATAACTATACGAACTGACTCAACATCAAGACAAACCCTTTCTTAAGTAAACGATTCCTCATCTGTTTATCTTACATATAAAAACTATTATAAACACATATTTCAGTCATCCATAGCTGCGATATAAATTAGCAAAGTATAGACTAATATTGAAAGTTTAATTTATTAATTTTTGTTTCACTGATATGAATATCAGTTTATCCAACAATTTCAACTAAAATTAAAATTTGAGGCTCGCTTACTCAAAAAGTATTTGAGCTATCAAACTCAATTTAGCACATATTTATAGAGAATTAAATGCTCTTCCCAATAGTGTATAATTTATTTTGATTCAAGCAAATTTCAATGGAAATATTGACCTGAAAAAAACTTAGAAATTATATACATAATTAGGTAAATTTCTACCTTTACTTTATGTAGCTGTGTTTACTGGGAAGCAAATATGTAATGCAATAATTAAACCTCTCAAGTAACTGTAATATTCTCAAAATGCTCAAAAAGTTCACATTGGAAACAGTTTTTGAGAACTTAAGCTTGTGCCCTTTAAACATATTGCAGTTCTTAAGAATCTCTTTTAGATAATAAACTCAGCTTCTCAAGGAATTATGGAGGCTACTTCTTGAAGAATTTATAAAATCTACAAAACGTTGCACCCCTGCTAGATCCTTAATCCAAATTGCATGATGCCAATTGAGAGAATTTTCAAAAGATAAGAGAAAATCACTTATTTATAAACAGAAGTACCTGAAAACAAAAACCTATTATTTAAGATAACAATAAGTTGATTGTTCTCGATACTTTAAGTGTTTCAAAATGAGCGTGATTTTCGTAATTTTTTGTTACTTAGTGCTAGTTTTTGGACAAGAAAAAACCAGCAATAATTTTTATGGTATGTAATAATCAAACTTTAATTATTTTCCTAATTCATCAAACCCTTTTTTTCAAAGATATCCTAAACAAAATCAGACAAGGATACGCCGAATATCACTCGACGGGAATCCGTCCCGGATACTTGAACGAATCCCTATCCCGTTTCCAGCTAGCCCACTTTTTCAGGGATCAAAAAACCCTTCCGAGAAAAATCATCGAGGATGGCGCTTTGTGCGAAGTGTGCAACGTTGCCGCAGAATCTCTAGTGCAAGAAAGGAAAAACGGCATGAACAACGTCGAAATTAGAGGCGAAATGGAAACACTATGCAAACTTTTGAATATTGAACCTGGCCGAGTTTGTGATGGCTTCATAGACATAAATGCTGATATTATTTTATACGTGATTGATAATAATCCTAATTTTTCGCCTGGGAAACTTTGCGATTTGTTGCTGCAAAATCAACAATGCAACTTTACGAATATTGACTGGATTGTTGACGTGCCAGATGGACAATCTCCAATAAGACCTGGTCCAAGTGATTCTTCATCTACTTATAAAATCTTACAAGTAACTGATGTTCACATGGATCTTTTGTATACTCCAGGCAAAGTTAGGACTTGCACTGAACCATTGTGCTGTCAAAGTGATCAAGAAGATGGTTCAGAAGGAAACTCTTGTGGCCGTTGGGCCGAATATGGTAGTGACATTTCTGTAGATTTAGTTGACGAAATGCTACGGTTTGCCAATACACTTGATATCAACTTTGTTTATTTCACTGGTGACATTGTTAGTCATAGAGTGTGGTCCACAAGTGTGGAAAACAATAGTGCTGTTATAAAGTTGTTTTATGATAAGTTGCAAAATGGTTTTAAAGTGCCTGTTTATTCTATTTTAGGCAATCATGAACCTAGTCCATTAAATCAGTAAGGAACTTAAATATAATCAATTTACTAATAATCAAGAAAAATTCCATCAGGTTTGTAGACGACAATTCAGTTCCATCAAGCCTATCAAGTCAATGGTTGTTCGACTTGGTAGATCAAGAATGGTCCAAATGGTTGACTGAGTCTCAAAAAGAAACCATTGCCAAGGGTGGTTTTTATACAATATCCCCTGTACCTGGTCTAAGGTTGATTGTTTTAAATTCAAACGTAGCTTATACGGAATGTTGGTGGTTGTTGACACAAGACAAAGACCCTTACGACCAGCTGGATTGGTTGGTTAGCATTTTATCGCAAGCTGAGGCCAAAGGTGAAAGCGTTCACATTCTAGGACACATACCAACTGGGTCGGGTGATATTATGAAGGTTTGGGGAAGAGAGTTCAATAAAATTGTTAACAGGTATTTTTATTATAGTTCAATATTAATCAAAAACTTAATCTAGTTTATTTAAAGATTCGCCAATACAATTACTGGTCAATTCAATGGTCACACGCACGTGGATTCTTTCCAAGTGTATTACAATATTTCGGATTTGAGTCAAGCGATCAATGTAGCTTGGAATGGTGCCTCGTTGGTGGCGTATGACAACGCAAATCCTAGTTTCAAAGTTTACAGCGTCGATAAGGATACTTTTGTGAGTAGCTCGTGCAGTTTGTATGCGTCCAAAATGAAAAAATTTAATGATAATTTATCAACAACAAATGATTACTTGAAGTACCTACATAATTGGAAATTCGATTTTTCGAAATTTATATAAAAGTTGCCGTACAAATCCTTTGTCTTTATAAATAAATGTAACAAAAGACTAGTTTTCCAACATTCAATAATTTTTGTATTTTTCCTTGTTGCTTCCGTTTTCTTAGGAAAGACAATGGACATTTTTGACAAAAATAGCATCGAACCTTTTATTATTATTATTTTTTTTTTTCAAATAGGAAATTGATTCCTTTTGCAAATGATAGCAAACATATTACATGAGGAAGGTTCAAAAATTGGATTTAGTTGATTTTTCATATCAGTTGGACATTTTGTCCATATACTGTCCACAAAAAAAAATCAGAAACTTTGAAAATAATTCTGGATAGTTTTACATCTACTTTTTTGACAATGCATAAGGTGAGGTAATTTTTTTTATGTTGAGATTTTGTGTCTTAATGGTCCTTTGAGATCCTCCGAGCTGCAAACACTAAATTATTCTGAGATTTGGAGCCAAATTCTATGAAAACAGGCACTCAGAAAAATTTGAAAATTGACAAATCACCCCAAATTGCTTAACACGATTTTGTCTCAGGAACTATACGTCCAAATGAGTTGAAATTTTCAAGAATTGTAGTCCTCTACTGGAATAAGAATCGCTGAAAATTTCAGCTCATTCGCACTTATAGTTCCTGAGATAAAATCGTGTTGAGCAATTTGGGGTGATTTATCAATTTTTCAATTTTTCTGAGTGCCTTTTTTCATAGATTTCGGCTTCAAATCTGAGAATAATTTTGTGTATGAAGTTTGGGGTATGTTGATTGACCATTAGCATACAAAATCTCGACAAAAAAAAAATTGAAATTTCATCGTTTTAGTAAGAAGGTACCCCCTTATCATTTTTTTGAAAAACTTTAAAAGGTCATAACTTTTTTTCTATTTTAGATAGAAAGCTGAAACTTTCACTGAATTTCATCCTTTTTAAAAGACTACAGTCCCTGAAAATTTCAGCTCATTCGTACTTATAGTTCCTGAGATAAAATCGTGTTAAGCAATTTGGGGTGATTTATCAATTTTTCAATTTTTCTGAGTGCCTTTTTTCATAGATTTCGGCTTCAAATCTGAGAATAATTTTGTGTATGAAGTTTAGGGGGTGTTGATTGACCATTAGGATACAAAATCTCGACAAAAAAAAAATTGAAATTTCATCGTTTTAGTAAGAAGGTACCCCCCCTTATGATTTTTTTGAAAAACTTTAAAAGGTCATAACTTTTTTTCTATTTTAGATAGAAAGCTGAAACTTTCACTGAATTTCATCCTTTTCAAAGGACTACAATCCCTGAAAATTTCAGCTCATTCGCCAAGTCCAAATAAGCTGAAATTTTCAGGGATTGTAGTCCTCTACTGGGATAGGAATCGCTGAAAATTTCAGCTTTCTATTTTCAATAAAAAAAAATTATGACTTTTCAAAGTTTTTCAAAATCTAAATCATAAGGTAGCCTAGTAAAACGATGAAAAATCAATATTATTTTTTTTTGAGACTTTGTCTTTCAAGCATATAAAGACCAGAAATTCAACTTCCTGGCTTTTGATTTAATTTAATCGGTTTGATTTCATATTTGATTGATTGATTGACATTTTTCTATAAATGTAACCCAATCAAGAGCCGGGAACAGTGGCGCACCCAGGTTTTTTATTTGGGGGGGGGGGGGGGGGGGTTTCATAATGATGAACCACTGTTTTTATAATTATGTGTATTTAAGAGAGTTTCCCACATGGTTGCAAACATTCTAAATTTCGTCTCCACCAATTTTCCCACCTTCACAATGAAAAATCCCCAGAAATTTCCCAGGATTCTGTTAGCATCTATGGTTATCAATGATAGTTATCAAGCAAGGTTGTTTGAAAGAGTTAAGTTACCTGATAATTTTTATGAAGTTATCAAGACGATTAAACTAATGCAAATTTCCATAGGATCCTCCTGATGACGTCATCTGTTAAGCATTACCAGACAACCTATTAACTTTAGGAACCTTGAGCTGTTTTCTCGCGTTCACTTTTTTGAAACTGGTTCAAAACAGGTTTGAAGCAGTATATTCTCGCGATGAACCCATACAAATACAATGCAATCCAAGTTTTCAAACCATTTTCCCGCGCCGAAAAATTATGACATCATGTGACACTGTTTGAAAAACGTTTTAAAACATTTGAGACGCGAAAAAACACCTTTGGTTACCAGGTCTGTTCCAACACGTCAAAAACCGTTCCATGAACGGTTTGGAAACCACTCTGTATACGAATTTTGGATTCTACGTAAAAATGTTGGGCTTTGCGCAGAATCGTGACGGTACATAGTACGGTTTCCTGCTGTGTTGGAACAAAGCTCATATTAGCTCATTTCCAGTCGATCAATCTATTTGCCAATTAGGATAAACGTTCAACAGGAAATAACCGTTCCAGAACGGTTCTCATGTCGGTTGGAACAGAGCTAATAACTGTAACAGCTTGTCAGCCTGGATGTGTAGCCATGTCGTAGCAGAACGCTAAGGCTGGAGACACAATGACAAATACAAGGTACAAGTGATAGATACAAAATACCGAAAAATCGAAATTTTGTATCTTGGTGTGGCAAGTAAATTGTATCTTGTATCCATTTATTCTGTGTTATTAGCATTGATACACGTGTTATTGTATTTTTGTCTCTTGTCACTTGTAACTTGTATTTGTCATTATGTGTCTTCAGTCTAAACGTTATAAGTTCACCATGGAAACAGGAATAAATAAAAAATAAATAATTATTATTGACAGTTCGACCGTTGACTGGCCTTGACACTTGACTATGTTGAAAAGGCAAGGGATAACTGGATAAGATGATTTTTGGGAAATTTAAAACATGACAATGCTGCAATTTTCATAAAAATGTTTATTTTCTAGTTTTATTCCCAAAAATACCGAAAATTTCTTATAAAAACATATATTTTTTAATTTTATCTCCATGAGTTAACAAAATTTCCCATGAAAACATGTATTTTTAATATTTTTCCCTTTTTCCCATTTCAAATATTTTCGTCCGGAAATTCCCACGAAAAGGAAAATTTCCCACGAGTTCAGAGAGTTGGCATCACTGTTTCCATGGTTCTTGGTTTCAATTCCAGATTTCAAAAATTTCGCGTTACGTAAATAGGATTTTTTTTTTTTTTATGTAAAATAAAAAGTTTGTAAGTACCTACCTATTAACCAAAATCGCAAAAATTTTTACCGAAAAATTCTGTATATTAGTGCTAAATTTCGAGGGGGGGTTTTAACCCCCCCCTTGGGTGCGCCACTGGCCGGGAATAGCAACAAATTGAATATTCAAAATAAATAATTTGTGGAAAAGTACCAAAGGCTCAAATCTTAAATTTCCAAAAAAATGGAATTGTAAGTGACATGTTGCCATATTGTGTATTAAATTCAAGTCTCCAGCCATTCACTCTTATTAAAAAAAGTAGAAATAAAAACCAAAAAAGTTCAGTTTCTTCTTGAAGGACTAATACTTTCAATTCTGCTCAGCTTGAAATAGATACAAATAGAATTTTTTTTTTGCAGAACATCGTCGACATTGACCAATGGACATTCAATTTAACGAAAGCCAACGAAAATCCAAACAATTATCCAGAATGGTACAAAATCTACTCATTCAGGGACGCCTTTGGACTTTCCACGCTACAACCCAAAGATATGGGCAACTTGTTAATAAATATGGCCAAAAACCACAGCCAATTAGCAGAATATCATTTGTAAGATGAAATTATTATTAGGTCTATTCCAACACGTCAAATACCGTCCCATGTTTATAAACCACTCAAGTTTCTACGCACAAATTTTACACGTGACGGTGTTGAAACAGACCTATTATGAATTTATGGTAAAACATTATTATTTTAGGTATCGATACAAGAATTCTGATATTGCTGTTAATACAGTTTGCGACCAGGATTGCCAGAAAGGGTACTTGTGTGAATTTTCAACGCACGTTTTTGGAGAAACAAGCAATTGTGAATACTTGAAAAAGATCTATGATCAAAATTGAATTTGTAATAAAATGATTAGATTATGTAATAAATACCTACTTAAGTACCTAATTCAGGATCCTATAAAAACCTAGGTACTTAAAATTCTTTATTAGGTAAACTAATAACAAAATCTATTTTTGAATCAAGTACAATGTTGCCTTCATTGTTTATTGCCATCTTATTGGCAAATGCATTGGCAGCACCCAATAGTATCTGTAATCGAAAACAACACCAGAGAAATGAAACTGATTTTCAGGAAAATGAAGCAAGCTTTCCAAGGCAAACCCATCTATCCGATTTTAGGCCATTCACGAGCCTACACCCCTAAAGCAAAATTGTGGAAAGGAGGAGGCACTTCTCTAATGGCAAATGGAATTCCAATAGATTTTTCTAAAATTTGGATATGCTGTAATTTTCAAGGCTCTTATTAAAAGTCATCATTGGCCGAACCTTGTGCGGTTGATAGTTTAGCCTCCAGAAGACGCCAAAGTTTCATATAACTTGATGTTATTAAAATATATAAAAATAATCTAGGATTATTATGAACATGTGCCATGTAAGATTTTTTGTATGAATATCGCAAAAATTACGACCGAATATTCACCATTTCGAGTGCTTGCATCCGCTGAGGCAACAGTCTTTTTCAAGATAGTTGTCGAAGAGAATTCGTTACCCGTTTTTAGTGTGCCAAGCACTATGCTAGATCAGTGAGTTATAATTCAATGTAAAAGTTAGTGAATCGAACAGTACGCCAAGATGTCCGACTCGCCGCAAAGCCTGGACAAGTGGCAAGCCAGAATCTCACAGCAAATCCAATGGCTGAGAGATGAGAACGAAGCAGTGAAACAGGAGTTTCTGTCAGTACAGAGAGACAATGTCATACTCCGCCAAGTGCTTGATGATATTCAGAGAGACAACGCCATACTTCGCCAAGAGCTTAATGGTGTCAAAACAGAGAATCAGAAGCTGAAACTCACCGCGAGAGTAGATAGGCATTCTTGACACGTGGTGGATGCGCCGTCGTTAACACGAAGGTGGATGCGTCGTCGGCGCCATCTTGTCAAACTTCATGGCGCCATCTGTCGGGAGTGCGGTGAATTCTTGCAATTGATCGACAGGTGGGTTCAAAATTACAGGTTCCTGTAGTAGCTTTTCGAGACAGGTCTGTCTATAAAGACAGTTTTTCGAGACAGGTCTGTCTACACAGATAGCTTTTCGAGACAGGTTAGTAGTAACGGGGGGCACCTGAGCCTGAGAAATTTTTCGATACCGTGGAAAAATCTCTAAATCGGCAGCGCCTTTGATCTGATATACACCTATACAGAGCTAGAGACAGGCCTGTATACAGCAATGGTAAGTTTGGGTTAGTTATAGGTTAGCATAGGACCCCCCCACGTCGTTGGGTCAGTTAGGGAAGATTCGTAACTGACTTCGTGTCAACGACGGCGCATCCACCACGTGTCAAGAATGAAAGATTGAGGTTAGGTTCGGATTTTTATGCTTGAACCCGCTTTGCCTATCTACTCGCCAGTGCCTTCAAAACAGCGCAGAAATACAACGTCTCTCCAAACTGGTTACGCAGCTGAACCGGGAGATAGGCAATCACTCGGACATGGAATCGAGCGAAAACGAATCCCTGGCCTTTATGTGAGCAGGTGGTATAAAGCCAACGGCGATCCGGTCCCACTAGTACTTGTCCTAGTGCCAGCTTCGGAGACCAATCTACCAAGTCCGTTATATCAGTAACGTCAAGTGAGAGTTGAGACCAATGAAGTAGAAAGAGGTATGGAATGAGCTTTGCGTCACTCAATTGATTCCAGAATGAGATAGCGCTAATAAGGGCAAGACATATTTGGATCTCACAGTCTCTCTTTCTAACCCTGAGTGAGATAGCGCTAGTAAGTGCAAGAAAATCTCATGAATCTCTCCTGTTCTCTCACTCTAATGTTGGCTGCAAATATAAATGTATTGAGTAGATAAGCGAAGAGCTATTCCAACCTTACTATTTCATTGGTTGAGACCCAGAAGTCACAAACCTGCATAAAATCACGTGAATCAGCCGCCACCTGCGCTAACTGTGGCGATGAGCACCCAGCCTCATACCAACGGCGCCCCAAACACCCAAAGCATCAGAAGAAACAGCAATTCAAGCCCGCCCCTCCGTCAAACTTTGTCTGGGGTCAACAAAAAAACTATGACGCCCACCTTCACTTATCAACAACAACCAACTCTTGTTATAGTATCGATACTACTCGATATTGTCCTTAAAAGTATCGTTACTCTTGAGTATCGATTACTTTTGCAATAATTCAATAATTTCGGTTGTTTTTTATTATATATTCTTACATTCTTGCCTTCTTAAGGCTCTTCTAAATCCTGGTAAATCCTTTTAAATTATGCTAAATAATCACCAATCACAAGTGGAAAAAAACACACTATAAAATTCTCTTCCAGTCCCAGACAGATCCCAGAAACATAACCAATCTTACTTGCTGACGTAGTGACGTCTCACACGCATGCACGGTTCGCATCAAAACATTCTGCCACCCAATCTAGCCATAGCCCGGAAACCTGACCAATCAAATTCGATGTGACTGTTTTGGGTGGCATAATGTTACTACATGCGCTGAATCAGGGGCAGAATGTCGGGACGATGATGGAGCTATTTAAAGAGTCAGAATGTTATTGCATGGGCTAGATTCAGGGTCAGAATGTTACAGGAGCATTAGTATTAAATTTAATAAACAATGTTTGATATTGAAAAATCTATAGCTGTCTTTTGAACGTATTATTCAATTCAGAAATTTAGATTTTATTCGTATTCCCTATGGATTTTTTTCATGAATATATTGATTAGTTTTTTGATTGAAACGAAGGAACTGAGAAATATTTCCATTTTGGATATAAGGGGTTAATAAATTTAGATTTAGCATTAGGTGTTTTACCTTAATTAAAAAAGCACGTACAGTCGTGAGCACAAAAAGTGGGACAACCATTTTTTCCTATTGTAAAACGGGCTCACCAGCTATACCTACGGCAATGACAGGGATTGTCATATTTGACAAAAAATCGATTGTAGAGAAAAGACTGATTTACGCAAAATAGCGAAAAATGACAAGACCGGTCAGTCGGGTGTCCCACTTTTTGTGTTCATGACTGTACATGAAATAAAAAAAAGGAAAAATAGTACCTACATCCAGTAATTACTCCAAGAGGGATGTTTGGAAAGTGTATCTCTAAGGGCCGGTTTCTCAATAGCGAGTCACCTCCGGGCTGGTTTTAACTCCAGAGTTAACGTGTAAAATTGCAATGTGCACCCTAGAGTTAGCTTAATCCGGAGGTGACCTGCTATTGAGAAACCGGCCCTGAATAAATAAATAAATAAATACATTAATGGCTCTTTGCACCGACTGTTTTAAGGAAGCCTTAACGATAAGTCTACGTTGAAAAGACATTTTTGCATGGGAAAATGTCACTGTAAGGAATACTTTCTTATCGTTAAGCCTTCCATAAATTGGTCGGTGCAAACGGCCATTAATGTAGGTACTATTTTTCCTTTTGCATCCATCTCCATCATGAATTTAATATTAAAATGACTTCGCATAAATTTCAATAGAGCAATGAGCGACAAATGGACAAAACATGCGGCACTTCTAACGCGCAAGTCCAACAGGCCGTCCTAACATTCTGACCCCTGATCTAGCCCATGGAGTAACATTATGCCGCTTAAAATAGCCACATCGAATTTGATTGGTTAGATTTCCGGGATATGGCTAGATTGGGCGGCAGAATGTTTTGATGCGCACGGTTCGGTTCCCAACAGCATATGTTTATCTATAGACTTCTTGTGTGCAAAAAAGAAAGATATAGATTAAAACGGGTCATTTATCCACTTTTTTTTTACATTTCCAAATTACTCTTTTTATACAAATATGTCGCAGTTCCTGTCAATTTCAGTGTTTAGTAAGGTTTTTCAAGTATCGATATTAGACAAATAGTATCAATACCTACATGAATTCAGAAAAAAAGTATCGAGTATAAAAAGTGTGTAAAAGTACTCGATATTTTGAGAATGTATCGATACTTTCAAAGTATCGATAGTATCGTTGTTGAGAGTTAACCCCAAAAAGACACAAGCCATTATATTCGGAATGAACAAGAAAAGGCCTTCAAAGAAAATACTTAAATCAGAGACAGTCATCTCCAACCGCTACTCAGCCTAGAAAATAGGATTCTACGAAAACTTCTGAACGCACCATGGTTTGTGCGGAACACGACAATCCACAGACACACACAGCTCCAAGAACTGAGAAACCATTTAGACGATATTTGCATTAACTATTTCACCAAAGCAACAACAGCTATAAACCCAATCATAAGGGTAAGCCACACCCCAGCTCCGCCAATGCAGGTTTGCTATTTAATTTTTTTGCGAATTCTGGAGCACTAAAATGGCGGCAACACCTAAACTAAAATAGCTAGCAAAAAAAGGCATGAGGCAAAGTTGATCAGAATGTAATTATCTACAGGTTTTGTTGAGGTCATTTTGTCGAAAAAAAAATAAATAAGAAAAAAGCCAATAGGGCCGAACGCACAAGGCTGTGATTTTTTGGCTCAATACTCAAGATACAGTCTCCAATCAGCCCTGAAAAAATCAGGCTGCCCTCGCAAAATTTTTTGAAAAACCCATAAATTTCTTGGACTAAGTAGGGAGTACCGCAAATTGATTGAAAGGTAATAAATAAATTTATCAGACGGCTTATGTGTTTGCCAGAGATAACAGCATTCGATAATTGGAACGAAAAACAAGGGTTTTAATTACTGGAACAACATGCCCACATATTTTTCGGTGTACAAATAAAAACACTACTGTTTTTTTTTTTTTTCAGCAAACTTCAATAAAATAATTTTGTTATAGATTTTCAAATACTATAGTGGCTCAGTTTAATAGTCACACTCACAAAGATCAAATTATGGTTTACCTACTACCAGTTCTTCGAACGCATAGGAAGTTGTCAACGTAGCTATCAACGGTGCCTCAGCTAATCCTAGTTTAAAGATAATTAACGTTGATAATGATAATTACGTAAATGAATGCGGCCCACAAGCAAATTTTGGATTTTAGAAATGAAAATTTGGTCTGAAATTACGCTACCAAGTTTCCTAGTAGTTTTCAAATATAACATCAAAAATATTATTACTTGGCTCTTCTAGAATAATAATTATTGAACAAGAGTAGAGGAACTTATTTCTGGACCAATCAACAATTAATATGAACTAGAGCAACTTAAAAAAGATCATTTCTGAACTTCGTAGAGTGACTGTATCTTCTAAAGCTGACATTTGAATTAGAACAGCTTTGATTCAACTTCAACTACCTAGTCAAAAATCAAAGTTTTATACTTCAATTTTGAGTCTAGTAATAGGATTTTTGAGCATCTCCAGTTGAATATGGACTCTACTAATGTCAAAAATGGTCTTTTTTCCAATTGTCCTAGTTCAATTTGAACTTTAGAATGTTCAGAAACCACTTCTCTCTTCTCTAGCTAATTCAAGCTCTAAGAAGAGCAGCAAATGGAACTC